GCCATGATTACAGACATGTACCACGAAACTCAACTGCTATTTCTTTTTTTTTTTTTTTTTTTTTTTTTTTTTTTTTTTTTTTGTCCTTTTGAGACAGAGTCTCCAGGCTGGCCTTTAGCTCACTTTGTAGCCCTGGCTGGTCTTGAACTCGACAGCAGTCCTCCTGCCTCAGCCTCCCGAGTGCTAGGATTACAGGTGTGCGCCACCACACCCGGCAATGTGAACTTCTTGCTTTATATTTTTTAAATAAATGTGGCAAAATATAAATGATTTTTAGGAGCTCATTTCCTCCTAAAATACTCATTTTAATTCTCAATAAATCAGTTTTCTCATATTACATTTGTATTATGGATTTCTAAAGCAATACCTTATTCTGTTTCAGGATGTTCAAGATCCTTCAGTATTTGTAACATTCCCTTTGGAAGAAGATGAAAGTATATCTTTGGTTGCTTGGACAACCACTCCCTGGACTCTACCTAGTAACCTTGCACTGTGTGTTAATCCAGATATGCAATATGTAAAGATTAAAGGTAAGTCTGAGGCTGATTACGTGTCATCAGAATGGATAAGATCATTTTATTTGAGAGAAACTATGAAAGCTCACATACCTTTTTTGGACTAAAAAAAGTCTTCTAACAAGAATATTACTTAATCAGAAAGATAAGCCCTTTTATTTATTTACTTAATTTTTTGTCTTTGTGAAACAGGGTTTCGCTATGCAGTTCATGGTGGCCTTGAGCTCTCTTTGTAGCTCAAGCTCGTCTTGAACTTGAACGATGCTCCTGCCTCAGCCTCCCGAATGCTGGGATTACTGGTGTGCAACACCATACCTTTGTTTCTGCTTTAACAGTAATATAAAAATTATGAGTACTGAGATATAAAAATAAAATTTCATTGCCATTTGCAGTTTATACTGTTCTTTAACACATCATTCCCTTGTTACCGATGGAGAGATAGGGAATTGTGTCATTATTGGCATTGGCACCAGGACTTGAGGACTTTGTGACTCTCAGATATTTTCTGCTAGAGTTATCATTGTCTCAACTAAGTTCTTCCATAGAGATTTATATGAAAGAAGAAGTTTGGTATTTTGTGGACAAAGATAGCTTTAGGTCTGGCTAGTTGATTGGAAGAGAAAAGTAAATAAAGAAGACAAAACCCATTGCCAGAGAAAAATGCTGTAGTACAACTGCCAAGGACAATAGTACGGCATTCTTCAGAAAGCTGAACATAGACTCACAGACATCTACCAACTCCCCACAGGGAATTTAGTCATTATGTACTGAAACATGTAATAATAAAAATGAGACCAAAAATTTTTTTAAAAGAAAGCTATGATTCATACCACAACTTGTTGAACCAATATGCAAATAAACCAGTCACAGAAGGACAGATCCATAGGATTCTGGTGATCTGAGATACCCAGAGCAGTCAAATTCAGAGAGGAAAAGTACAGTGGTGGTTGCTGGGCTAGGAGTGAGGGAGGAGATACTGTTTGATGGATACAGTGTTTCAGTTTCTGATAACGATGATGTCACAACACCGGAAAATACTTCCTGCCAGTTACAAATGGTTAACATTAGCTTTTCTAAAATAAGGAGCAGTCATCTTGATTCATACTAGTTTGTGCTGGAGAGGAAGAAGTTTGAGAAGGGAACCGGAGAGCAGTGGAGGTCAGAGGAAAGATTTCTTTATTTGATCCTCCCCAGACAGCTGTAAGGCCAAAA